CATCCAACCAACGATCACAACCCTGCTTGAGGACGCACCACTCAACCAGGTGGCCCTTAAAGCAGACAAAATACTGGCAAGAACTGGCAACCGAGACAACTACATAGTTGCCTCAACGTCACGCCGATCGTGGACGTCGACGCTAGTCATTCCCCGGCTCAAGGTGATAGGGGCGGTCGTATTAATACACGTTTTAGCTTTCGAGACCGTTGCAATATACCCAAACCCCACGTTTCTCGAGCCAGATCACGTTCTCGGAAAGCCGTAACCACCCGTCCAACTAGGGCATCTTCCAAGCCACTCCAAAAGGCGGCTTCGGAAACGAGTCGGGTTTGGTGCTGGTTTCACCGATCTTTCGGGTCCGGTGCCCACCGTTGTCGGGTCCCGTGCTCATACAAGGCGGGGAACTCCTGAGCCGGCGAGTAAATGCGGCTGTACTAGCCGGCCCTTCACCCCAGGTTGGTCGTTAATTTTACGTGCACAATTATCGCGCGAATGCTAGGTACCTAGTAGATACTGGTACCCAAGTTTCTATCGTACCTCTCGGTAACAGTAAGTCACAAGCTAAGACGCTTCGACTACGCGCTGCTAATGCCCCAGCCATTCCTACCCATGGTACACGACAACTCACGGTCAACCTGGGCAACCGACGACGGTATCTTTGGACGTTCATCATTGCCGATGTTCCCACAGCCGTACTCGGTATTGATTTCCTACAGCACTACGAATTGCTGGTCGATTCACGTAGGCTGGAGCGCACTGATACTTCGTCAAACAGCAAATTCATGGGCTCCAAAGCCCATACAAAGGCGTACCGAATCTTAGGCACCTTTTATTCGCGTGACGATATATTCCCCGCTTTATTCGAGAAATTCCCCAAATTAACTAAACCGCTCGGGGAGATTCCATCGGTGACCAACCGTGTGGTAGCTATCCTATCCCCCACATACACGACATCACGGCATCGCTCAAGGGCACGACTATCTTTTCTAAGATCCATCTGGTACGGGCATATCATCAGATCCCGGTCACTCTTGAAGATATCGAAAAAACTGCTATCATGACTCCTTTCGGTCTGTTTGAGTTTCTACGGATGCCTTTTGGATTACGAATGCTGCTCAAACTTTCCAAAGGTTTATCGATAGCATAGTACGAGACTTAGCTTTTGTTCACGTCTATATTGATGACCTGCTAATCGCATCATCAAACGCAGATGAACATTATCAACATCTTACACTCTTATTTCAACGCCTTTCGGATAATGGAATAGTATTCAACCCAGACAAGTGTGAATTGGGTAAGTCGGAAATAATGTTTCTGGGTCACATCATTAAGTAAGAGGGTATTTTACCTTGTGAGGATAAAGTACGTGCAATAAGAGAGTACAACGTGCCGTCCTTACTCAAGGTACTGAAGGCATTTCTTGGTTTGGTTAACTTCTACCGTCGTTTCATCCCACACGCGGCAGAACGGTTACGACCATTAAGCGATTTACTTCGCGGTGATCCACACAAACTAGAATTGAACGATACTGAGCTGGCTGAATTTTCAGAGATCAAAACGGCCCTGGCTCAAGTCTCACTTCTCGCATATCCAGACCCGTCAGCCACGCTTAGTATAGCGGTTGATGCTTCGGATTTTACCATAGGAGCCGTTATGCAACAGAACATCTCCGGTAGTTGGCAACCTCTTGAATTTTTCTCACGACGCTTTACTTCCACTGAAACGAGATATAGCGCTCTTGGTTGCGAGCTGCTAGCAGCCTACTGCACCATCAAACACTTCCCGCACGCAGTAGAAGGACGTCAATTCATCTTATTCACCGACCACGAGTCCTGCATACCAAGTCTGGCCGCTACTCACCACGAGAGTGCAGACATTTGGACTATATCTCCCAGTTCACGATAGACCTTCGTCACATTAAAGGCGAGTCGAACTATGTTGCCGATGCTTTGTCACGTATCCAAGCGAATGCAGTCACTTTACCGGTGTTAGATCTTCCTGCTATGGCCGCCGCCCAAGCAAACGATCCTTGTTGTACAGAAGCATCACAATCTTCCTCCCTTCAGTGCCAGGAAGTACCTCTAGCTACTAGCTCAGGTACTATCCTATGCTATATTTTTACCGGTCTTCCCGACCCATCGTACTTTCTTCTTAACGTCGTCTCGTCTTCAATGCCCTGCATGGAATGTCTAATCCAGGTATCGCAGCTACATTACGCCTCATTGCTGCACGATACGTCTAGCCGTCCATGAACTAGGATGTCTTTATGTAGGTTAAGCAATTCTTGCAAGGTCAACGATCAAAAGTGCACAGGCACGTAGCTGCCCCCATTGGCACGTTCGCTACGCCTAATGCTCGCTTCGATGACGTTCATATAGACATTGTAGGACCATTGCCATCATTGCATGGGTATGACCACATACTAACGTGCATCGATCGCTTTACAAGGTGGCTCGAAGCTATGCGCATCACGTCTACTACGGCGGAGACAGTTGCTCACGCTAGATACATCAGAGACCTCATTCTCACGTCCCGGTCAACAGCACGTGTTATCTGCAACATCTGCGGACGAGACTTCAGTTTCATATCCAGATCAGCAGGCCACGACACCCTTGACTTCGGATAAGATTGCAGGATCACGAAGTACGAACGAGACTATCGTCTCACGTTCTGGTCGCCGAGTGCGCTTGCCCGTACGCTTTCGTGACTAACCGCACAGTCAACAACGGATACGGTGTAGAACTATTCTTATACTACATGCATGCTGCACTTTTCTCTTTTCTTTTGATTTTCATTTTTTTGTACCCTGAGCTCACGCCTCCGACCATCAACCGTTTGGTACCATCGACTTCATTCGACCTTAACGAAAGCTGGTCTGGCCACCCACGCTCTTGTCCACGCACTCAGTCGATGTTCTGGTTTCGAATCTGCCTGGCATATATTTGGTTTTGCACGTGGTTGTCATGGTCGCTTCTGATTCTTAGGCTCAGCGTGGTTCCGTCCTACATCTGCAGCGTTTCTGGTCCGAACCCCTACGAACGCAATCTTCAGACTTTGGATATAAACCACTCTGGTGTGGTATGCCAATTCGAGCAACGAATACAGCACGCTTCTCCTGGTACCGTTCTACGTAAAAGACATTCATTGGCAACTCGAGGATCAACGATCGCTTCCTGTTTCGCCAGTCCTTTCGTCCTACAATCGCACGCTTACAGATCAGTCCCTCGAACCAAATCGCTACATATCGAAAGAGTAAACTCTTTCTAGCGGGGGGTTCTTGTAGTGACCTACTTTATCAAGAGAACACGATTGGTTTAATGAAAACAATTATTATTATAACCAATTGTACCAGTGATTGTCTTACTGTACTTGTTTGTTTAACTGTACTAAAGACATCCATTATTCTTCCATTCTTGCTTCCGTTGATTGTGACCTTGCACGAACTTACGTTTGCCCAGTGATTCCGCTTGTACTCCTTTGGCACGGTCTCGGTATTCTTTCGATATCACGGAATCGTCAATAAATATATATCGCTACAACTTCCAATCGCCTTCCGATATCTGGTGCGCAACCCTCTTGTAGTGGTGATCATAGTCAACCGCGACTCAACGCCACCCTACACTTCCACCATTGCTGACCTCTCCATGTTATGTGTTGAGTATGAATTTCCATAGTTATCTTATATTTAGCTCCGAAGATCGCGTGAGTACACCAAAGTCTCCATAACCTTTGAGGATATAAAAAGAAGTGCCACCAGAAGGTTACTTAAAGGCTCAATGAGTTAGTCTTCTTTGAAAATTGGTGTGATGCATGAAAAATTGTAAGCGTCCATGGCCTCACCTTAGCTTAACGATTGTGAGGACATGACACAAGATTAAAGTCTTCTTTCCCAACATTGCAGTGTTGCACATGTTTGATCCAGGGGATGCATTTTTGTTTAGATCCTGCAGCTGTTGATACACGAACCCAGTGTATTGGTTTAATTCTGAGACTCCTCTTGCGTTTCAGGTGAAACGATTGTCGATGTAAGTTGTACATGACAGTTAAAATGTCTAAAAATACCGTTTCGCCAGGAGCTCTGCGGCATCGATACCATTGTTTGTCTGGCCATTGGGACTAATAACCGAGAAATCCATATTTCAGCTTGTCGAAGACAGGCTGCATGACAGAATAAGCTTTTTTAATTGGAGAAAATTTGTCAATTATGTTGTCCTGATACTGAAGCCTATCTTTCTTCAGTGTCTTTGTGCATTGGTCTCTTGCTGCCGCCACTATTTAGCTTTCGAAGGTTATGCTTTCATATGATTGTAGGTTCAAATGGTTCAAGTGGTTGTGGATGGAATAGAAGAACCTTTCGATTAACGGGCTTAAGGGTCTAGTAGCAGTGGATCACCAATACCTCCAGGCAGGAACATAGGCATATTAACGATAATAGAGGAAAACAACTGGTAAATCATAGTAAGATATTATCCTTAGTCCTTACAAATAGGTCAAGTTTCCTCTTAAACGAATCCTGGGAAGTCGATTGGATTAGTTCAGTCGGCAACCAATTCTAGGATTTGACAACTCTTAAAGAGTAGAAGTTGTGTCTACAGTCTATTCTGCTATGTTGTGTCCCCAGTTTCTGGGTGTTACCCCTTAAGTTAGTGTTGGAGCTAAAATTATCTAGGTGTTTAAGGGGATGTCCAGAAGTGTTAAGGATACTGTGAGCCCTTAAGTTGCTTATAACTTCTTGGATCCGTTTAAGGAGTGGTTTGATTTGTAGCGCCTAAGATTGTATGCAGCTAAAAATCTCGACGAGCGTTTAAACCTATTAGAGAGTAGGCTTTACAGTTAACCTGTTTTTTATTTTGTTTTAAACTTCAACCTGTGTTGTCAATAGAATGATTAGACTCAGTTTTTAATATCATTTTCTAAGAAAGGTTAGACTTTGATGTTGCCAAAATCCTCAAGAGTTCTTATCAGTTGTTTGATCTTTAATATTTATTGCTGTGGATCGAAGACAAAGTTCAACTAAGTATTGAAATTTGTATATCTAACCTTCGACGAAGTCAAATGTAGAGTTACACGATTGTTTCATAGCTCGTTTTGTGTTGTGTATTTCATGGAGTCAGTTAATTTTAAGCCGCTATACGGAACAGAAACACGAACTAAAGCGGTAGAATGCATTTTAGAGCCACTGTTCACAAAAGTGAAGTGTTTTGCGAGGAGAGGTCACATGAAAGGTTCTTACCGTCTTAAGTCAAAACCACAGGAGGATATTTTGTCTAGTGTCAAAGAGGTAATATTTCGTCCTTCTTGTACATTACAATCCGCAGGTTATTCAATTGCTTAGTGACGATTTCAGTGTTGTCGAGAGTGTTCCGTCATTATCGTCAGATTTTTTAACCGCTAAAACAGATGTTATTGATACTGGGCAGTATTTTTATTCTTCAGTTTCCAGTTTTTTGTCTGACCCTGCAAATGAATCCCATCAGAGTGGTGTTTGTCGATCTATCAATGCCCTTTTGGCTGCTTTGAGCAGACTACTTATACTAGCTGATATAGCAGACTCATTGGTTCTTAACCAGCAGTTCGAGGCCGTCCTCAGTGGTATTACGGAATTCCAGTCAGTCTCTTCACACGCGGTATGTTTTATGTAGTGTTTGGTTGCTTGACCAATTATTCCGTCTATTGGATTCAAAACGACGTCATCTTAAGGGCCATGTTCATGTAGCTTTTATGTCGTTTGATGTTCCTCTTGTAATCTATCATTACTTCGACCATATACTAGAACTTCTTAAAGGCTTCTTGGCGAAAATGTCCTAGCTTTGTTAACCCTTAGATTTTAGAACAAGAGACCCGATGTTTCGGTGTAAAGATTTAAGTACACAAATTGAGAGTAGAGATCAAAAATCTGGAAACATCGACACCCAGCTTCTAAGTGAGATCATAACATCAAGACTTTTGGGAAATGGAGTAGCTCTCTAGCTCTTTTTGCGCTTTTGGTCTCAGTCACAAAGTATTTATGTTTATAGACTGGTACAAAGCTCCTCGTTCTCGTGTTTTCAGTAGGGTTAATATTATGGATCATTACATGTTTCTTGTGCGTTACACCTTTTGTATGGTTCCACAAATTCATCTCAGCTGATTGTGGATGCTAACAATGTGATTGTTCTTAAGGTGTAGTCGGAAAAGTTGGGGTCATAGACTTCTTCGTGGATCTGATTAAAGGATTCTTATTGATCTTGCGCACCTGAGTATGTGACTGGACATCTGAAGGTACAAATAATTAAGACCGGTTACATATAACCTTTGTGTAAGTGGCTTTCTTATAGCTAACTCCATAATTCACAGTCCTTACTGTTAGAGCCGAAGAACCATAGAGGATGGGAGGAAATTCTTTTTACGAGTTAGGGTTTTATAACCCTTTACTAAGAACTAGCGCCGTTAAAAACGTTTGGTTGGTGAGGCTACCCCTTTATACCTTTCCATACATGATAAAATCAAATCACATCATTTATATATATATATATTGTCTCTTTCTTAGGAACTGAGTCGTTTATGGAATACCTTTTACCCTCATGTATTACAACTTATCAGCTTGTCAAAGAAACGTGCATCTGATCTAATTGATCTTGAAGACCGTAGAAAAATTGAGTCTGCCAACTACGTGCTTAAAAATAATACGCCTTTATTACATACATCTTGTAAGGTAAGTTCAATCTATGATATAAATAATGTATTTTTAAAGCTTGAATGAACATAAAAATAAGTGCCCGGTGTTTCTCAGCATCATCGTCATGGAAACCGCCCTTTAGCAGGACAGAGGATGTTAAAAGTTTTTTCGCTCATTGTTATATTACAAATATGTCATTCCTATTATACAAAATCATCGAACACTAAATTTATTTGGAACTCATATTAAGTCTTGGTGTGGATACTTGCTAGGCCAGGTTTGTTAGTTAAACAGGTGAAGGAATTCACTTATTTACATAACTGCATAAGTATACACAAAGTTTAGATTTAGCAGTCCAGTAAGATTTTGAGACACTAGTTATAGAATTACATTTAAAGTAATAACTTAGTGTTGTGAATGTTTTCGCTAGCGATTTCGTCAGGCCCACATGACTTCAATCCTCTCATTTAACCTCTTCACCAACTTATTGAAGTGTGTCAACTATCACTTGGTTTTAAGGAGGCCAAAATATGACATCAGTTAATGAAATCACTGTCTGTTAGTTTTTTCCGTGTCATTACGGTTATACTAGCGGCGGGATAACTGACTTAGTGGTTGGAAACATTGACTGGAAAGGCTCAGAACCAGTCAAGCTTATGTAAATGCATCCACTCCTTATGTCCTCCTAGATTCTTAAATCCAAAATCATACTCTTTGTTTATCGGACTCATTCCTTCTTTTCGAATGACATTCTCTATGTATGTTTTTACAGTAGACTAGATATGATACCAAGTTAATTTGGTATGAAAACTCAATAAGTGGCTTACTAAGTGTCTAGGTAGTTCTGTCAAATATTCAGGTACCGGAAGTGCCTATTGTGCGTTTCACTACACTTAACAGGCGTTGTCAAGTGAGTAACCAAACTTGATCATTTTTGGTTTCTTTACTTCAGCTCAGAGTTTTCTTAAATTTCACTTTACAATACAAGAAACCTTTCGATTAATGAAAAAACTTACTTTTTTTTTCCAAATTTAGGTGTGTTTACGCTATCCTGATAATCTCATTCCAAGAGATTCAAGAACTTTTGTTTCGAATTCTCTTTCGGATGCAGTAGAGTTAATTCAATCAGTCTTTAATGGAATTTCCAAATCCAATGGTATCCGGTTACGAACTTCTGGAAAACTTTTAGAAGCTTTAGATGAGTTTGAAGTAATACATTATGTGGTAATGAACTAAACTTATTAGAAGAAAAATAAAGACACTTCAATAAAGAAGTTCAACAAAAATATTAATGATATGAGAAATTAAATTGTAATTTAATAGTCAAATTCATGAGTCGACTTAAGCTAGACCACCATTGAAAGCCTGGAAGCACTGGATGGCCGTTTTGTCCTAGTACAGGACTCCTCAAAAGTGCGAATCCACGATCCCGCACGCGGGACTTGAACTCAGGACTTTCGGTCTCGCGCGTGAACACTTAACCTCTGGACCGTTGGGCCGACATCTAACGGTGTTAATATCTAACTTCAACCGATCCACGATATTGCGCGACCGTCCACCACTGTCTTCAGTGAGTCACTGCCTCGCAACAGACACGACTGGACTCCATTGATCACAGCTTCTCACTAGAACTCCTGGAAATACATCTTCCAGGTTACTAGTGGTGGTCTAGCCTAAATCGACTCATGAATTCAACTATTAACTTACTACAATCTCCACAAACCCCATTCTGAAAATTGAATTGTCTTTATTTTTCTTCAAATGACAATTTTTTTGTATTATAAGTAATTTATTCTGGTTTTAGAGAATGGTTTCCCTTCCCATGTTAAATAACCATTTATTCTTACGTTGTATATCTTTTCAATTACTTCTTAATTTCAAAAACTGTTGATAAGCTCGTATTCATAATCATTTGTGAGAGGAGGTTTTTGCGTTTTGATTAGACGAAATATTGACCGTCAAAATCAATGTGTAAAGTCCTGATCAATAGATAAACTCAGTGATATAGTGTAAGCGAGTAATAGCTACTCATGAGACCGCATACTTGACTCAGACCCTCAAATGAATAGAAACCAAAGAAAGGACCAATAGCCATATGAATAGCTTTTTTATGTAATTCGGTAAATGCTTATATAAAGAGGATGAATATAAAATAAATATAACAATATACTATAAGCGATTTCAGGAAACTAGCTTGTAAGTAAATCATTCTCTAATCAATTGAGATCTGATTGTCAGGTGTCATCTCTGAGCATCGTATCAGTTTCCAACCATTTAGGTTATTAGGTATCATTACCAAGCTTTGATTTGATAATTTCAAATAAATTGAGCATTCGGTAGATTGTTATAAATAAACAATATATTTGTAATATCCCAATGAGTAGAAAATTAGATTTTCTGACGTTTCGTGACTTTTTTCCGTTGCACTATTTAAACATGGATTAATTTTAATTTGGTTATTTATTCTTTGAAGAAGTGACTTACACTAAGTCACGAAACGCCAAAAAATCTAATTTTCTACTCATTGGGATATTACAAATATATTATTTATTTACATTTAGGTTAGTATTAACATATCTAAAAATGTAATTCATTTATCGAATACGAGTTTGCCTATTCATCTTTAAGCTACATTCCATTTTGATTTAAGTCGTAATAAGTTCATATCATGAAGTTCATTATAAATAATACCTAAACTTAGTCTACATTAAAATATATGAGTTTAATGAACCGAGCCTATATTCTAGTTTTTACATATATTTTTTATTATATTGGAGAAATTATGGTAACGCATGCTTTACCTTGTTCGTAATCAGTTTAGTATCACAGTTTCTCAGTCTTAGAACACTATTTTTTAGTGTACAAAATTTAATACTGATAACTCACTCATTGGTAAAGAGAACCATTCGAACCCGTGAAACAGTAGGTGATCATGTATTTACATCACTAGATCATAGCTTCATTTGAGACATGATTGGTGAAAAATATCGAATTGATTAATATGCAGATGAATAAAAATAAACATACAATAGTCCAAATGTTAGTGGTTTTTAAGAAAGATAAATGCAGTAATAAACTGCTAGTTTTATGCAGCCAACGTGGAACATAGACTTTAGTTGCTATCTTGACGTGGTGGTCGGGCTTACCTATCGTGGTGACCCAACCGAGTAATTTTATCTCGAACACATGTTCCTTTAGGTTCTATCATCCTAAGAAAGTCGGTTGGAGAACGGTAAGCAACTTTAGATCTGAGTGTGAAGTCATAACTCTGACTGTAGAGGGGTGTGATAGCATTAAGGCGTTTCAATTACGACGAGCTGTCGTCGGAATTGGTTACTTCAAGTGGTTGTCCACTTTCCTCATTTTTATTTAACTTTGTCATGGACATGCTTTTAGAGATAACACTTTCATCATCTGACTTCTCAGAGATTAATCTTCCGGCAGATTCACTTGTTGACTTAAAATACACGGATGATATAGTTCTGTTTGATGAAGACGCTAACAAAATACAGTCCTCTGACCACTTTAAGCAACAATGCAAGCATGTTTGGGATGCGGCTATTTCCCTTGAAATGCAAGACTTTGTTTCAGGATTGGCGTGTTCCATCGCCTGATTTAAGAATAGGTAGTGAACGCATCGACCGCTTCACTTATTTTGAGGGTCTCGTCAGTACTGATGGTTTGGTGTCTGACAAGACCTCGGCACCGATCCAGATGGCTCGATTGGTTTTCACCAACTTACATCACTTGTGGAGTAGGCGAGATATCCGTCTGACAACCAAAGGGTGAGTTCAGTATGTAGCAGTTTGTTTCGTTCTACTTTATTGGTTTGAAAATGGCCATTAAGAACAGAGAATATCCGTAGGTTACTGGTATTCGAAGCATTGATCGTGTATTTTGGGACCGGTGCCTGGGTTGAAAATAGATTACTAGGTAAAGCTGGGAAATCGACTGAAGATGTAGCAAATCTTTATGAACTAAGGTGGTTGGGATATGTGTTACTTATCCCCAACTATACCGGCTATCTTGACGGGTGATATTTTCTGGTGTAAGCGTGTGCCGGACGAAAGCTACGGACGACCAAACCAAAACATGGCATCAGTTCATGAAGTCACTGACAATAGGATTTAGCCATGTTCATAGTTGTAGACTATTTGATTGGGGTCCGCGTGATTATCGTAACCAATGGTTAGGGACTTTGATATGGCTCAAATCGTTTGCAATGACGCACATGCATTTATTCTTTGTCTTCCCTCAATTTCCGAGATTCTAGATTCCTCATATTTTTTTCGTTTTCATTTCACTAATTCATATTTTCTTTTCGAATCGTATTTTCGATGACTAATCTTTCCTTTTAACAATGAGACTGTTACTACTTCTACTATTTTAAGATTCGGCCTGATAACTTTATTTTTCTAAGTGTGGCAACTTGAACCGATGTACATACGTACCGATTGAGCATACAGAATAAATATAATACATTCCAGCAACAGCTTTGAAACATCGTTTTTTTCTTGCCCGGCAAATCGTATCACTTCTAGAGCCATAATCTATCATTCTGTTTACTACTATTTAATATCCAAATTCAACGTTACGTTTTATCGTAATTTATAAAAAGGTCAACCTATTTTTGTCTAGAGACTAAACAAGTGAAGATATGAGATCCTATTGGGTTTTATATCACTTATGGCTATAATGAATCAATTTTTCTGTTTGATTAAGACACTTATTTATCTCGATTCTAGTTCTGTTTGTTTATTTTTTTTAAAAAAAACTTCATAAAATAAATTATCACCATTATTTATGTTTTTTAGAATAGTCTATTTACTAATCCGGATCGAAAATCTACTGTACACATACAAGAGCATATTCAGTTTTCGTTAAAGGGACTATTATCATCAGTTTATAAGTTGGTGGATTCATCGAAATTAAATTCAAAACGACGTTCTGCTATTGATGAGTATTGTACTCAGCTTAAAAATATTACATCTGAATTAATATCAGAATATTCTAAGAAAGTAAGTATTAGTTGTTAAACCAACCTTTAACAATTGTGTTCGATACAGAGTGTAAACATCCACAGAATATCAGTCGTACTTATTTTAGAAGTTAAAATAGTCAGTTATTATAAATATAAAATCGGACAAGAATTCGTGTCGATTTATGTCGTCACAACTCATGTCATTGCAGTGATAGACATAATAAGCACGATGAGAAGTAGATAAGAGAAATTCATTTAAACTATAATGAAAACCTTAACATAATAAATACTGTCGCAAAAGGAACAAATTTGACCAAAGAATGAAAAGTTGGGAAATTACAATTTGAAGGACTATAGAAAAGCAATGTTAAGGGATCATTAAGGTCAATCGTATGGTCCATACAATCTGTTGAGAAAAATAGCTAGTCATGATTTGACTTCGTGTTAAATAACACAATATTTTTTTGTTTTGGTGAGATTATCCATTTGCCGGATTTAATAAGTTGGACGAAAATTAGGGCCGTCAAAACCAATATGTCATATCATTTCATGGAGTAATCGGCTGTTGGACGAAGCCGTGTAGACAGGTACAGACTACTTAGATTCTAATCCACGCGATTGTCGTAATTAATGTTTCAAGATATTTGGATGCCTGAAAATCGGTCACAGCTTCACAGATGCGTTCACCCTCGTGCTAAAGTACTTATCTTCACTACAAAATAACTAACATCCTTCAACATGCTTTAGTTCACATAAAGGAATAAAATCCCCTTTATGTCAACATAGAATTGTGTCTACAAATTAGAATATGTCGATTGTGATGCCTTCTATATTGGACAGTCATTTCGTGAAATCTTGACTCGAGCCAAAGAACAGCCTATTTGCACAAGAACCCACCTAGTAATCCTCTAGAACTTGAAAAACTCCAAATTAAATCGGCAATAGCAGTCCGTGCCATTTTCAGCAACCATCAAGTCGATATTAAAAATATCAAAACAATGCTAAAAGACTTTTCCAACTACAAAGACAGGGGATTAGCTAAAGCTTCCCATATATTGTTTAATCCTACTGCTCTCAATAGCAAAGAAGTCCTGACTATCCATCCAACTTGGATAATCTATCCGAGCTACTATATCTGATTCTATTCACATCTCACACCATCATCACAAATATAAAGTCAACTCTATCTTTCCACATTACAAATATCATATTTTTCGCATCGATTAACATACATACAAATACATAAGTATATCTCATAGAAATCACTTAGATGAGAGTGAGGTGACATTGACTTGATCAGACCTGTTTTTGATTGATTAATTGTACTAAATATTCTTGCTTTACTCCTTTGTACCATTTAAGCTTGGATTAATTTGATTTGTTTATTTATTCTTTGAAGTGTTGAAAAATTTGATTTTTCTACTCATTAGGCTATTACAATTATGTTATTTTTATTGGTAAAATACTTACAGTTTTTCTTCGAATTTATTCTTTTCGAATTGTATTGTCTATTTATATTGTGTATGCTTGATTTTTTCTCCTTCTGCTGATCATATTACTACTTTTAATACTTTAATATTTATCTTGTTAATTTAATCTCTTGTATGCTGATATCCTATGGCAACTTGAATTAATGCAGTTATGTCTCAAATTATATGTTGCTTATGTTTGTGACTGAATATTTGTACTAGAAGAAAAAAAGAGGTTTACTTCTGTTTAGCTTACTTTAAGTAGATGAATAAGATTTATAGTCTTTTACTTCAATTTTTCGATTTCATAAAGTTAACTAGAAATTTGTAAAGTTTACAATTATCTCAAAATATACATCCAACACCTATTAAAACTGAGTAATTAATATCAAGAGGCTTTACTTGTATGTTTTGTATGAATGGGAATTCAGTTACGAATAGCCTATCGTTTTTTTTTTGTAGTGATCATCTAGTTTGATTCATAACAAGTAGCAAAGATGACTGTATTTAGAAACAATTTAAATCATTGTAATGAATTTTCTCTCTAAGTATTTTGTATCTAAGTTATGCAGTTTTATTTGCTCACTAGTAATTAGTTTGAAGATAATTTTACCTGTGTAATCAGATTAATGGTAGGTGAAGTAGTAACTCTTCTATGATTTTAAATTAGTATCATATTATACGCATTGTAAGTTAACCAAAAGTTATCACGTCTACCATGTAATTCCTAATCAGTGGTCAAACTTAATCATTCATACTTTCCATGGAATGTTTATTTAATCTTCTATGTGGTTTTAGATGCATATTACTAAAGGGATACAATTAAAACTAGAATAAGACAGATATCCTCCAATACTCCATATTTTTCAATAATTCTACTGTTGATCTCAACTCAATGAAATTCAACTTTTGTTCTATTTCTACTCATATCTCAATTGTTTCTACAGTTGTATATAAGATTAGCAGTAGGTAGTCATAAATTCCCACATTACATAGCTTATAGATAATCAGTTGGAATTCGTAAGTTTTCATGTTAGTTGACACTCATCAGAAAGATAAGGTGTTTTCAGTTTTAAAGGAACTATTGATTTCTTATATATTTTGGACCAGTATCATTCGCGTAACATCAAATGAATTACATCGATATTCTAAGTCATTTTGTATAGTGTTATTGAATTGCAAATTAGTCTATAGTATTCGATTAATATTACAAGAACTAGATAAAATGATATTCATCCCTATTCAGTTTGTTTGTAAACTTCACAGTCAAAATTGAAGCTCAACACCACCAAGAATGAGATTCAAATTTGTCCCGATCAATATTTGACATCAATTGATAAAGTCAATTAGTTTTTAACCTTAAGCCATGTGAGGCAATTCATGTTACCTGGTTTAGCGTCCAAACAATAATCAATAATCACTCTGCTTTAAGGCTTGATGTAATATACTTTAAAATTGCTCTCAATATCTTAAATTTATTCGTTATATTCTGCTAGATCTCTTTTATTCCTTTTCAAACTGTACTCTCCACATCTAATCTTTACTGATATAGAATGTAAGGCAATTTCGAATCAATGGAAATCTGTGCCACATGATCTTACACTTTCTATGACTAACAACATCTGTACTAATGATGTAGAATATCTAAAGTTCAGGATCAGAATTTTGAAAAATGTTTTATTTTCTGAGTTGAATGGTTTATTCGTACAGTTTTCATTGTTTTTTTCATAAGTGCATACTTTTGCTGATGATGTTGTTTAAACAGACAATGAGAAGTATACAAATTATTCGTATTAAAGTGTTTGGTAATTGGAAGACAATGAAAACTGCCTGAATGAACCAATTAGTTCAATGAAAATATCTTTGATAAAACAATTATGTAACATAATACATCTAGTGATATTTTTATGGCATCGCATTAAAGCTTTAAAATGCCCTGGTACGGCCGAGAGTGGGGAGAGTCCGCTCTCCCTCTCGAAATGCTCTCACATGGCCACGTATATATAGCCTCTGCCAGGGAAGTCCTACTCACTGCCTTCTCGTGGCGGGGGTGTTGTTTACGAAAATGAGAGGACGAAAAGCGAATGTCTGGCGCTTTAACCGGATTCTAAACCAATGGTGCACATGGGCTCCAGTATCTTGCGGGAACAAATGACGTATGAACCAATTGTTGGTCACCGGCTTCCATGGGACTGCATCTCCTTACGATGCTTTACTGCCTTGTGGATCAGACCTTCAGGTCGAAGGCTCGGGGTGTGGCCCCCTAAGAAAACCACCTGCTTCGGTTTGGGCACCTGGGCAGTATCACAGCACTCACACATATCGAATGAGATTTGTGTGGCGCATATGTATTTGGTGCCTCCTTGTACCAATATCTATGTGTTAAAATAATAATAATAATGATTTAAAATGTACTTTTATGTAGGTCGAGATTTGTTTTACATTTCTCATTATTATTATTATTATTACCATTATTAATTGATTAATTAATTAATTAATTATTACTTATTTATTTAGACAGTTGACGTTAGAGCAACAGAGAAAATTGTACAGAAATTATTAAAAATTATCAATTCATTGAAACAGCTACTTATTCGTTGTGCTATTGATTCAACATCAAATGCTTTTATGGCTAAAGAAACTTGTTTAATGGCATTGAATGATGCAACAAAATTTGGATGTGATCAACGCATTGATTCAGCTTGTCAATTATTTCAGGTGATAATTTAATTAAAGTTTATTGTAATGATTTTTCAAGTAATTAATATTAAATTATTCATTTGTAATTTATCATAATGTAATTGACTTTTTACTATTTGATGTCTTGTCTTGTGTTGCTGAATCGATACCTATATAGTAGTTAAAATATTCTGTTTTCATTTGGTAAGTCATACATTCAAACTATACTAACTAATCACGTACTTCAATTCGTTCACTCACATGGCCACGTGCATACAACCACTGCTAGGGAAGTCCTACTCATTGCCTTCTTGCTGCAGGATGTTGTTTACGAAATTGAAAGGACAAAGGCGAATGTCGGGTGCTTTAACCGGGTTGGTGGATATAAATGATGAAGCTAGGGGAGTTGGAAAACCCTAATTCCAAATCAATGATGCACATTGACTCCAGGATCCTGAAGAAACAAATGGCGTATGAACCAATCTTTGGTCACCGGTTACCATGAGACTGCATCTCCTGATGTTGCTCTACTACCTTGTGGATCAGACCTTTAGGTCGAAGTCTCCGGGTGTGGTCTCCTAAGAAAACTACCTGTTTCGGTTTGGGCACCTGGGCAGTATCTCAGCCCTCACACAAATCGAATGATTTATGTGGCACATATGTATTTGGTGCCTCCTTGCACCAATGTTTATGTGTTTAAATAAATAAATAATCACTCAGATAGAGTATAAGGGATCTTGTACATGCACCGAGACTCAAAACTATACTTAATTACATTATATTTAGTGAGTATTGTATCGTTTATACTTGGTTTTGCAAAAATTAAAATATTGTTGTTAACAAAGTTGTTTGAAGAGATGTGATTATTAGTAGTACTGGTTTTGTCGACAATACAGTAATGACTTAATTAATGGTGATTAAAGCAATCGATTCTTAATTAATAAGTTATAGGTTCCAATCCCCAGTCCATCTACTTTGAACTGAACAATTACTATTGATCTCATATAAAGTATAACTCGAGGTCGTTTATACAAATATGTACAGAGTTACTGAGTTATATAAAAAGGTTTTCAGAGGAAAAGAATGGTAAATATTGCTTAAAAGGTCACCTTTACAACTATAAAGTAAATAGTTGAGTGTTGCACAAACAGCATACTCTCCCTTCAATAGAAAAAATTGATATTTTGCCCACACCATAGTTGAGCACACGTTGGTAATGGTCAGATGGATTTTTTTGAATTCATGTCAATATTTTGCTAGTCACCAACTCACTAAAAATACCAAATCTCTTTCCATCATCTTACTATTCCTACCATTAAATTGAATGTGTCAAGGACAATCTTTCAACTTTTCTTTTCTGAGTAGGAAATGTAAACTAGAAAAGTATATATAACCAAATTATCATATTTCATAACTCCTATTTTTATTGTTTGTTTAAACATATGAATATGATTGTGCCAACTGCTGAAAACTCGCTTTTTCGAATTGTGCGATGATCAATTATTGCCAGTGTTTGAATGTTCAAAATAACTAATAATTAACTAGAATTAGTGTAACTTATCTACTTAGTACCGATTTATGTACACTGAACTTTGAGTTGTTGTACAGTTTGTATTGTTTCTGATAGTGTTGTCATACTACTACTTACTACCACTGTGTTGACAGACATAAGTAGCATGTAACACCAATGGAAAGGGGAAAACCGGGCAGCGGAAGACTAAGACGATCGGTTTGAAGAGAATAGAATGGAAAATCGAAATGAATTGTGAGCTTGAAGAATCATAGGGAATGTCATGGGCAAGTGATGCAGATTTGCAAGTGAACTATTCGGTGTATGACTTTTATATTTTACCAATATACTCTCATTTTGTATTAAAATGTATTGGTTGTCCGCACCTGTGTTTCCAACACTATTACTACTCTGCTCTTATCCTCCTCTCAAAAATGACGTAATTAGAACGATGAAATTCCATCCTACAGCTTATAATTCTTTAATACTCCATGAAACATTAAAGAAATTCTAAATTTTTCATCTTAACTTTTAGTTTATTCCTCTATACGTTATTTTTTTCTACATTCAGAAACGTTCTGTATCTATGATATCATCTGCTTATCAGTTATGTTCATTGAGCACAGATGAAGAATGTTGCAGCAAAATCCAATTAGCTTGTCAACAAATTGAACAACTTGTTCCACAGTTAATTAATATAGCTTATTTACTATTTAAATATCCATCTTCTAAGGTAAATTGTATAATTTTACTCATTTGTCAATATTTTTTTTAAAATAAAAGATTGTAATTATTAGCGTAACATAGATTAGATTAGAGCATATTCCGCGCAGGATTTTATCGAGGCACTCTGATTGGCTGCTCCTCAACCAATCAGCGCTAGCGGATACTTGGAGAAGACTTTAGAATCTTCTTATGATTCCTTATTTAGAATATAATTACGTTGCTGTTCAACCGTGTTCTGATTTGGGGACTTGTCGAGTAAAGTGAAGTGTCCAAAAAATACTCAGCAATTAATAGTAGCTGAGTGGTAATACGAGAGATCATAACAGTAATGTAGATTAAAGCTAAATTGATTGTAATTATTTATAATTAATAAATTATTAGTCTGTTAATGGATGAGTTCACTGTTCTGTTCATTAACTATGCTAACGTTGATTGATCCACACCATTTCTTGTCCAATTAGAACATGAAAAAAGACAGTTAATATATTCTGTTTATATTATGGCTTAAAATTCACGTGATGATAATAGAAATGAATTACAGGATCAAATGTACAATACAATCAATGTACACCACAATTTGTACATAACTAAGAGGATATTTTGTGGTAAAATACTGAGTAATAAATATTTAATTTACTGTAATTTATGAACGGTAAGAGATAATATCAACAGTTATTGAGTTAACTGAAAGCTAAATAGTCAGAGGAATATAAAAATACTATAAAGCCAGATATTTACTAAATGCATAATGGAAAAATGTGTAGAATCATAGTGATAATTCACCGAAGAAAAGTTCTCAAAATTTCACCTTCATTCACTTATGTCTAACTAGTTAGATTAACGTGTATCATTAGTTCATCATCTAGTAATTGATGTATCACAAAATAAAAAACGCGGATTACGTAATGTCAAAAATAGTTGTTTATTATGCTCAGGTTAATTTGATCTCAAATTTTACCAGTAACATTTTTGTCCATTTTTATATTTTAAATCGAGATAATGAACTGATCAATGTGAGACCACCATTGAAAACCTGGTTGCACTGGACGGTCGTTTCGTCCTAGTTCAGGACTCTTCAGCAGCCCAGTCCTTCCAGGTTTTCAATGGTGGCTTATATTGATCAGTTCATGATCTCAATTAAAATTCAACAATCTTCACAACCCTATACATTTTTATATTTGTTTTCTTGTTTGTTTTAGTCTGTTGAATTAAATTATGAAGCATTTCGTAAGGTATATGAAGAATCGGTCAATTTACTGTATTCATGTGTTAATGAGTTAGTTGGTATGCATGATTTCCTAGCTGTATCCGATGATTTAATGTTGTCGGAATATCAAAAATCTATTCGTGCCTTATCGGTATGTAGTTTTAATTCTGTTTATATTTTCCTTTTCCTTTAAAAAAGCTGTTGCTGTACGTATTTGATTTTGAATTGTCGGATTACTGATAGTTATTTGAGTAGAAATATGGATTAGGATCTAAAAAAAAACTGATTTTTTGACTTTGTTTGCTACCACTCAATGGTTTGTCTGTCTTGATGGCTCAATCTCGTTATATGTTAGCCGAAATATTCATTCTTTAAGGTCCCATCATATTAGGCAGACAGATGTAGTTAGATACCATAAGAAGATTCTGTTGTTGGTTGTACCGGGTTGTATGGTGGAATTAATGGGTTTCCTGTTAAAAAGCAGTATAGCCGGAGGTACTTCCCTACCCTATTACTTGAGAAGAGATCGGACGAGATCATTCTGAAAAATAACATCCTTTTTTGGATCACGATATAGGCGGTTAGGCTTGAAAAGTACAGAGCTTGTTGGATAAATAAAAATACTAAGAAATGTGACTCTTGCTGCTGGGCTTAGAGTTATCTTTTGATTCTTATTGTGGTTGTACTTTCAATTCGATAAGATTTTTAATACTTATCCAGATTTTTTAAGCGAGTTTCTTAAAACAAAGTATTCTTTCACGAATATAAGTGACAACTGATGGAAAATGTGCAAATTAAGTATTTAATGCATGGTTTTCATAATTTACGGAGACACTGTAGTTTTGCACTAAATGATAAATTGGTTTTCTCCACCTGTGTTCGTTCACTGCATATATCCTTACATGTACATTCAGTGGATCCGGGAAATTTTTCATCTAGTCTCTGAATAGTTTATTATCGGCAATGGAAATGAATTCTCATCCAACTGATTGGTTTGTAATGATTTACCTAGCATAAACTGACACCATTTGAAAATTAGTTTCATCACGCTCTGCTAACGTAGTATAGCAACTTAGGCTGATATACATTTGTACTATGTTCTGCTTTACTTACGTCTGACTGAACGACACATCTGATGAGCCATTGAAAAAATATAAACCACTGGACACCTGTTTCCTATTTTAAAACTTTGTCCCAGTGTACACTTATCAATCCATACTGTTTCAAACACAAAACCTTTAAATTTCACACTGAGCACGATATCTTTAGAATTCACCTAATCAGTAATCAAGTATTCCAAATTTTCTGTTCCAGTCAGTTCATGTCATGAGGACGATGTAACAAGTAAACCGGACAAATACATATGCTGATAAAAGGCTTCATGGTAGGAATTCTATTCTGAGTGAATGATTTATTCATCTTGTCATGGCACATCTTCCAACGCAATCTTGATTTGGTCTCTCAACGCATTAGGGATAGGGTGCTGGTCAAACCATAAATAACTGAATTAAATCATAGAACACAATATATAACGTGAATTCTAATATTATTACAGTTATTCAATAATAAGTTGAATAATATATGTAATGTAACTGGCTTATAAGTTTGTTCGAGTTTTACATATTCAGTGGATAACTCATTCATTAATTAATCAGATTTGAGTTATTTTATTTGTATGGAAGCTCGTAATATTCGTTGGCTGCTCAAATCGAAGTAGGTGAAGCGAATTTCGAATCTGGAACGTATCGCTTGAATCGCCACGTGTTAATCAATATATATGTATATCATAAATTAAAATTATCATTCTTCTCTAAACTGTAGATTTTTCTCAAGAAAAACTATCCAAATTACTTACGTTCTTACCTGTTTTAATGATTTAAGTAATCTGAAATAAATCTACAATAGGTTGGCCCAGCTATTTTTTTTTAAAGAATTAAACTATATAAACAGTTATTTGTTCAAAATAATCAGTGATTCTTGATCATAACAGTTATCAGTGTTGCTACTTGTTTGTGTGTGTTTGTGTAAATTAACTGAGTTCAGGACATCTCATTAACCTTGCTTATAATCAAATCAGATGGTAAATCATTTTTATGAGTATTTACGAGATTCCATTATAGAGGTAGGTAATAAAACTTTCACAGTAAGCAATAATTATTTATTCATTATAGTTTGCAGAATGACAGTTTATTTGTTAGGGTATTCAGTTTTTGACCACCAAGTCTCAAGTTCGAACACCTTTCCATCTACTTCAGTTTAGGCTGAAGGGTAGTATCACCAACTTCTTATACTTAAAATACAACTCTAAGCCAAGTAAGCGAGTCTGCACCTGGTCTGACTGTAGTTTCCGATTTGACTTAGTGTTTGATCTAGCATATTATGATAACCCAATAAAAATATTTTGGCTGGAACACTTGTTCTTTTTGGTCCTAACATGTCTCTAAGGTCGAGTAGAGAATGACAAGTCCAAAAGCAATTTGCTCAAGGTCCAAGAACAAAGTTTTACTGCTGACTGTAATGAAATGTGGTAACACAAAGGTGTATCTCTCAGGAAACCAAGATCTACAGTGATGCTGCCTTCTTATGACGAAAAAAAACGTGTTAGTAAAGATCGACCGTGAAAATGATACACCTTTTTTTGCCCCACGGATTTCCATCAATGACAGAGTCTTTCAAAGTACAGAGATAGCACATCATTTATATGACCTTATCTTCAAGTAGTTATCGATTGTGTCCTACAATTACTCTTTTAGATCTTCAAGATCATTACTAATCCAATATCCTTTTCATTTACCTTCATAATATATGAGTAACTGAAAAATCGCTACCATCCACACGAATCTAACAGGACTATTCTGTACATAGTAAATAAGTTAAATTATTTTCGATTATAGTTCGAACTCTAATTTGTAATTTTTTCATTGTATTCTTTTTTTTAACAAAAACAAACAAACAATTTATAGGATAAAGATGAATTAAGCGTTCAACAAACATCAACATCAATGCAACAACGTTCAGCTTATATTTGTGAAGTAATATTAAATAAAATGATTGCACGAACTGAGAACAATGAGTATGTTGATCAGGTGATGGAAAAAGTTACATTAATACGGGATCAAGTATGTTAAATAATTAGTAGAAGGAAATATTACACCTATATTTGATTATTAAAATTAGAATTTATTGTTATGGTTATATTTCATTCTGGTATGATTTATTATCAATAGTTCTTGTTTATAATGTTATCAGAGTTCAGAGCTCATGAATTTAGGTATAACGATAAAGTCTACTATTGTTAGTTCTTTGAATTAGTATCCAATAGTCTATATTTTCCAATTTCAATCAATTCATAGTATAATACAATAATCATTGATTACCATAATTGTGGATAATTGTCTCATTGTTTCGACATGATTGAACTCTTCTACTCTACTAGTGGACCACATTAAGATCCAATCAATAGAACTCGGTTAACACTAAAGGGCTAGATGAACATGATACTGGCCAATACTCAGTGATTAATCAATTGTAAATCTCTCAATCATACAGGAAGTCACTGGCGTCTCGTCAAGCTCATTTGTAACGTCTCCAGTTGTGAAACTGGTTAATCCCAGTTCAAATCCACCGGTGAACTTTAATTCCCTTGAGATTGTAGTTATGCCTTGCTAACGAGTGCCAATCAACACAAAGCCTAGGCTCACAGTCATTTGTTGACTTCTTTCTAATAATCTAATCATTCTACTAGTCACAATTTATCACTTAAATTTATCTCAAAGTCAGTCATTAATGAGCAACACATAATTATCAGCTCCAAGGCAATTGAGAGTTGTATGACGATTAGCTTTGATTATAAAGAGTTTTTGTAAGGAAATAGCAGAGTGTGTACGTACAACTTGCTTATTTGTTTCTTTAAAAAAATTGTTGAACTTATCAATAAGTGGACTAGTAGTTGAACAAATCATAAGTTAAAGTGTTCGCGCGCAGGACTGAAGGTTTTGGGTTCGATTACCGAGTTCAGGATTGTGAATGCAACTGCTAAGGTATCTCATACTAGGATGAAACGGCCGTCCAGTGCTTCCAGGTTTTCATCGGTGGTTGAACTTAGATAAGTTCATTATTTCAGTGAAAGTTAACCGTAACTACAACTCCATACTGAAAATCGCATTTTAGGTATTACAGTCCGAATAGTCAGCGATAAGAAAATCGATAAATCGGAAATAAGTTTATGTTATAAAAAATCAAATTAAATTATAAGTCGTGTGTTACTTGGTTATAAATGAATTATATATTGCAGAATAGATTTCCTAATTCTTTCATTTTCCTTTACTGCGGTTAGGAACGGCTCGTTTACTACGCGTCGTGGAAGTATTTCTCGATGAATAATTCATGAATATATAGTCCTAGATAAGCACCCAGTGAACAAATACGTAATCAATCAAAATAACTTGTCTCATTTGTATTATTTTAACTAAATCAATAGTATAATGTGGTATTTGAAAAATACAAACGAATCAATGTATGAATACATAGAACATAATATCAGAAACAGGATAGATACATGATTAATGATTTGATGAGTTTAATATTCGATCACTTTACTTGTTTTATTCTAATGAGCTGGATGTTCTACACTTCATTAGGATAGAGTGAAAATTTAAACAGTTTAAAATCCCAAGCATTATAAGAGTTAGATGGTGGCTGGCAGCAGAATCCAGGGCGCGCGTTTCGTCCCATTTAGGACTCGTCAGATGGTTGTATCTGCTTATAATGTCTGTGACTTAGGGCAATATCGAGGCCATCCCACACAGGATACACATATGTCAATAAAGGACTGATTCACTACAGTCCTAAAGATTAATCGGAAGATTCAAAAACAACCAATATAAAAATGAGTTAAAAAGTCATCCATATAAATTCTTCACACAAAAGGCAATAAGATTTGTTCATTTTATAAATAGCTTTATTTTGTAGTGAACGAAGATTTCGTGGGGATAATCCATTTGTTGTTTAATGCAAAATTACAGTGTCTTCGTAAACTATAAAAACTATACATTAAATACTTCATTTGCACGTCTTCCATCAGTTGTCTCTTACAGACTTCATCATTCCTTCATTGCTGTTGTTATTACAATTAATCTCTGTTTACATCAATGTTCTCTCCAATTCTATCTTTTCAACCGTCTGCTGCCAGGTATTCCTCTTCCGATTAGTGTTATATACTACTTATATCTGTCAACATAAGTAGCACACGCCCCAATTTTACATGTGTAGAAATGCTAATTTTTGTTTTTAAGTTTCACTTTTAGTTTATTTAAGATTATTAATATTTTATTTCATCAAGTTTTGTTTTGTATTACTCTTCTTTTTCTCTACATTTCTCGATATAAAAACAAAACAATTCCATAGTATACTCCAGATTTTGTGAATATCGCACGTAATACACTTAGTCGTTTAGCTGCTGGCCAGTCAGTCGATGAAAAAGCCTATCGCTATTCAGGTCATGCTTTATGCAGTGGTGTACATGATCTACGATTAACTGTTTTAAATGAATGTGATCTATCATTTGATAATGATATTGAGTCATTAAATTTACAAGACAATCACGGTAATGTTGATAATCTTCAACCATCGTCGTCTTCTCTACCTCATCTGCCTTCACCTCCTCTCCCTCATAATAATTATTATCATCATCATCGTGATCAACATTCCAATGACAATGAACAAATAGAAGTTTCAGTCAGTTCAATGAAAGATAAACAGAAATCAATAAGAGAAATGGACAGAGTCAATTCAATGTTAGAAAATAATTCCACTTCTAATTATAACAACAAATCTCGTAAGTATTTACCGCATAAACGATAATGATATAAAATAGTTTTATTTTAATTTCATTAATGTGAACAAATTTTGTAATTTCTTCCTTTATATAGAGAAAGCTGTGTTCATTCTAATTTTTTATTGTTCGATTAGATCCATTATGCAAAACGTTTGTTTTCCTGTTGTTGCTTTTTTGTCGTGAGTATTTTCTTGTTTACGTTTCGATAAACTGTCTTTCATTGTTACTCTCTCTCTCTAGATACTACTACTATTATTGTTAGTATGATTATTTTTCAGTGAAATTAGTTTTTCATTAAGTTTCATATGACATATTATGAATATGTATATTTGTACATGACAGTAGTTCTTGGTTGGAATTAATGTTATCGACAATTCATTTATTTAATAAAGGTCAATAAATAGAAAAGGAAAGAGACATAGAATAATTTTCAATGTTATTTGTTATAAATGTTTTTATCTGTTGAAAGATGAATAAATGTGTATAGGTCGCTGGTTGTAACATTACCACAATTCGGTCTTTTTTTTTCTCTCTCTCTCTCTCTCTTTTGACCATTATCAACTTCAGGTTTTTCAACCGTTTCGTGATTCGTTATCAGATTTAGTCACAGGCATGTTCTTAACGCTTAAATAACTCGTAGTTTAGTGGACGAACATAAAAACTCCACAATAAGTTTTATTTTCAAACGCTGAATAGTAATGTTTACAATTCATGAGTATTCAGAAGTCGTCATACCAATATATTGACCTTAGCTGAATTAATATTTCGCTTATCTATAATGGTCCACTTACAATTGTATTTGTCTTCTTATGATGCTATATAGGATAGTATAAGATAATATGACCAACTTTTCTCGGCATATTACTTTCCTTTATTGAGGAAAGCAAGTCTCCTTCTTAGAATTCTATTGTATGAATATTTTAATGCATCATAACCTCAAATTGTGTATAGATAAAAATGATAATGTTTCTTCTGCCATAGTATCTCCTTTAAACTTAATGTTTGTAAAGAGGATCCCATTTGGTGCTGTAGATGCTTTCAAAAACACTATACTTGGACAAACAATTGACAGTTTCTATCCATACAGGAGATATTTAGATGATACTTTCATTATTTATGACAAAAATATAAGTTTCAAGACATTTTAGACAAGTTCAGTAACTGTCACCAATTAATTACATTTCCAATGGAATCAGAGTCGGATTCGAAATTCCACTTCTTCGATATTTTGTTGATAAGGAAAACTGATGATTCTCTACGAAAATCGATTTACGAGGATCAGACGAATTTGTACTAATGATGCAATCAACATCGAACTTGATAAACTATGGCTGATACTAATTAACAGTGGAAATCCACCAATATTCGTTGAGGAAAGTTTGAATTCGATACAACAACGTGAAAAGGTATTCATCGCACCGAAGAAGACTTTTTTCGTAAACATTCAGTTTAAAAGAGATACTGTGGCAGAAGAAATTCTAACAAAAGTAGACGATCAAAATATTCGACTTTTCTAATCGGCCTTTCATTCGTAGTTGTGTGATTAAAGCGATGATAATATAAAAAACAAAATGAATACGTTTTATCCACTGTTTGAATTTGGGATCTTAATTCAAAAGTTCAAATCTATCTTTAAGAAGTTGAACTGTATTGTAGTGTATGATACTTTTGTCTGTTGACATAAGTAATATGTAATACCAATCGAAAGTTAAAAACCGGGCAGCAGAAGGCTAAGAAGATCTAGTTGAAGGGAATAGAAGGGAAAATAGTAATGAATTGTAAACTGGAAGAATCTTAGACAGTATGACGGACAAATGATGTGGGAATTTGCAAATGAATTATTCAATGTATGGTTCTCACATTGTACCAATAGATTCTGTAATTTTGTGTTAAAAATAATTTGGTTGTTCCCATCAATGTTCTCGTTCACAACAGTATCAATCAATTGCAAAGAATAAATACTTTATCTGATTGTTTAACATTCACAATATTATTGTCTTGTTAATAGAAGAATAATAAACTGAAAAATAAAGCCAATCATTAATGAATTCCTAAATTGTAATTTTTAAAACAGTTTACTTCTTATTAGTATAGTTCAATAAAATACTGAAAAGACATTGAACAGAACAATTCTTTGTTTTAATATATTCTTCCATTTTTACAAATCATTACAAAAGTTTCTTTTTAAGCATATATGTTACATGTATCACAATTTGTGTTGTTATAGTAACGTACTTTTGTCTTAAACCAAAGTGCATAAAAAGGAATAATAATATGACATATTTTAAATAATTCAATGAGGTACATTCAAGAGAACGTTTTAATTGAAGATTATCAAATGAAGTACATTTAAACATATAAGAGTTCAGCTAATATTTATCGTATATAATAAGAGCTTAGATGGTATTTCATATATCTATTGTCCTAAGTATAAATATAAGAATTACTGTAGCCATTTTACAAACATAGTATGTTTACTCTATCTGAATGTTTTTAGTCAATCTTTTGAAGTATCAAAATCGTTATACAATCGTCGAAACATATATCATTTAACTATTAGAATTGTAAACTTTAAAACCGCTCTCCGTCCACCTTGGTTTAAACTATTGAATACTATAATAATAAATATATTTTCTTGTTATATCCCAATGAGTAGAAAAATTGTATTTCTGACGTTTCGTGACTTAATGTAAGGCATTTCTTCAGAGGAAATAAATAATCGAGTGGTGTGATTATCTTGTAGACTTTAACACAAAATACACGAATAATTGAAGGCCTTATGTGTTTAATTCTCTAGTTAAATTCCAATACTTAATACCTGGAGATTTATTGTGACATTATATGTAACAGACTAGCAGTATGCAAGTAGGTAGATACATATGTAATACTAATACTAACGATAACAACCGCAAAAATGTAGATAGTGATTTGCATAATAATTGTTTAATTCAATTAAAATCAAACAAGGCGAAAAACAAAATCATATGGAATGCTAACAATTATTCATAACACCGATACTAATACTACTTGCATGAAAATAAGTAATAAGTTCATATGGTACACAGTTATAAAACGATATCACTTAGCTATCAATCAGCTGTTTATTTTAAGAGATAAAGTGGATAAATCATACTTCATTTGTTTTCAATTTATAACCAATGTTATTAAGTTGAACATTTTATTAAAATAATTAAGGTATGATAATTCTAATATCATTAAGAACACATCCACCTATTAGATCCATCAAATACTCATATACCCTTCTCTATATTTCCTGTTGACTTTAGTTTGAACAGTCTAATTAGTAATACAATAGTCTTTACATCAAATAATTCAGTTCAACGTTGACAGCATGATTGATTGATTCTTCAATGATCTCTTAACTGTTACATATAATAATAAGAAAATTAGTGAAGTAAATGCAGTCTGGAATCAATTCTATCTCAAGATCTCATTGTGTACTCAATGAAAAATCTGAACTAAACTGAAAATCAATTTCATTTTTAAACGGTCAGTAACAAAAATATAGAGCTATATTAGGCCTAAGATTCTTTTGAATATCATTCATAATAATTTTTGCGATACCTCAAAACTGTACACAACTAAGAAGCAAATAAAAAAAATTGTAGCACACATTAAACAAACTGTTCATTTTGTTTTGTTTTGTTTAAATGTGTCCACTTGTTGTAAATCAAATGATCTCCGGGTTAAATGTGGGTAGATAATGTTGCATTTAACGTGTTTTTGTTACTTAATATACATGTAGATTAATTCAATCTGTAATGGATACACATTCTACATGTTTGTTTAAATGTGTGTGTGTGTGCGGATGAGCACACACTTGTGTTTGTGAATGTGTTTATCCTTCTTGCTGATTTGTGTATAATCAACCAAGTTATAGTATCTTTACCATGGAAATGATATAAGTTTTATAGTTAACTGAATAAATCAACATATTAAGATGTAAAGCAACAACCGTTTTATAATAAAACAATATTTAAGATATTTATCGCGTTACACTGTACTTTTTTACTATTGAGAACAATCGAATATTGAACATTAAAATCGAAATATTTGATTACAAGCAGAGATGAATGATGACTAACAGTGGAATCCAGGACGCGCATTCTGTCTTATTTAGGACTCGTCAGCTGGATGTACCTACGTCCTAGAGTTGTTCTCCCCGGGATTCAAACAACCAATACAAAAATTTACGAAATATTTAATGTTTTACTTTACATAAAAACATGCTTGCCTTTCAGAAGGTTATTAGTGACCAAATTGAAATATTCCATAAGATCATAGTGTAATAAACTGTTGGACTATGATGTATCATGAGGTATTTTGGTTAGCCTTGGATATTGTGATGATCCGTTAGAGCTAATATTGACTGAAACACGTGCTCCTGGAGTTTTTACCATGATAAATTGGTCCATACGAGGATGGTAAATTGGACGTTCGACTGTAAAGTACTTTTAACTGCAGAGAGCTGTGACGGGAGTAAGGTGTCGCTCTAAGTTAAACAACATATACTGGCTTCCTACAACGAAAGAATCCGGTTAAAAAGGTCGATCCTAACAATATCTTTACTCCTACCACCTTGGTTTTAATAATTTTTATTGCAATTAAACTTTCGATTCCGGAGTATCATCGACTTTTCGTCAACTAAACTCAATATATTTGTTGACTTGAACTATACTACTTGTATTATTCTATCTAGTATTTGTATTATTTGTAGTTCTGATCGTAATTTAAAACTGTATTCGATGGTAAAGACATCATTTTAAATCTAACAATCCGATACTGTTACAGTGTTCATGTTATTCTCAATGCTAATTTATGATTCAGTATGAAACTTATGTTTTAGATCATTTGTATATATAGTAGTGATAACAGTATTCTCAACACCAATTGTTCATTATTACAATGAATGTCTCTTTAACATGGATTAAACCTGTAATTATTCAAAATACATTATTTAAATGTTTTCAACAGTCAATATCTGCCACCCATAATCAGTCAATAAAATTTTTTTTAATCAGTTCAGTTGCTATAATTGTTTCCATTCATCGTGTCTAAGGCTCTTGAATTCCAACACATGTCTCTCGTTTTTTTTAAAGGATAAATAGAATGGGAAATATCCGAAGTATTGCAGTGTTTCTGTTTAAGTTGGGATAAATTATAGATGTTTTACAGTAAAGCGTGAGTGAGTCCACTTTAAACTCGTAATTATTTGATCAAAACAAATTTCGAACATGTAGTTTATTCGGGATATTTTGACAGTTGGGAAATATGTGTCTCAGACGCTTGAATAAGCCATTAGAAGCCCATACGTTTGAGCCAGGTTCAATGTTGGTTACAATTGAAGGTTGACTGATATACATAATGTGACATTTTCGACTGATTTATTGACTTTACCCAACTCTAAGTACTTGTGATTACAAACTATAGTGTTTTGAGACCATCATAATGGAGCGATAAGACGAACGTGTTATCTGATATACATTACGAAATATATTTTCTAAAATAAAAATATTTTTATGTTCGTAAGTAGATATAGGCGAAGGAAGACATTATTTATGACATTGAAACCTATTATCTTCTTTTTCAATCCACTGAACATCTAAAGTCGTCTAAGCTCATTCTCATAATCGGTTTTTATAGCACAGAAGCATTGAATTTTCATCTCTCAGACTTGGAGTTCTAAAGTTATCTTATATTTTTACCATGACAAGAACTCATTTCTTCTGAAATTATATTGTCTATATATAACGTTTACTACTTCCGCTGATACTATTACTCTGATAATTTCGATGATGATTTATCTGAGGCGCGTTCATAGGTACTGACTATCTGGTTTATAGTCTACTGGACAATCGCAGTTAGTGGTTAGAGGCTGTTAGGTGATATGGCTCAGAATCGATCATAATATTATGTATGGATTCACTTTCTATCTTGCTTTAAGTTATAAATTCCTTCAGACATACTTTTTCATTCCTCCTTTTCGATAAACTATGGGCTTTTCATATTCTGTTGTTGTTTTCTAGTTGGGACCAATTAAATTCTTTCTCTGAGCTCCCAAACAGTAGTTACTACTTCTTATTCTGCATGGGAAATAGCAAAATGATGCGGAAAAATGAACTCTATTAAATAATAACTGACTTAAATTATTTTAGTAAATTATATTTTGTTCATTATTTCTATAGTGCCTAACCGATGAGCTTGGTTAGCTCCAGTTTAAGCTACAAGAACACAACAATACTTATGTCTAATCTCGGACAAATTGTCTGTTTTGTAAATGAATCCTCTCGATTATCTAACTGGAATTCATTAAGCAGTGGGCTTGTAGTTGAAATACTTAATTTTCACTGACTGGGCTATAAGTTCCAACCATGCTCCACTTACCTCGATTTCTGGAACCAAGTACGTTTCCTTAATCCTTACACAAAAATGTACACGTTAAAACTGAGGACACAAACGTGCACCTTTTAATGATTTATGTTATTTTTCTTAGATCATTTTATCTTTATTTTATTTTTCATGTTTACTTTTGTACTCCTGTTACAAATTGTAACGCTTAATCTTCTGTTTAAATTTAACATTAGTTTCATTTAAACAATCCACTGGAGATATTCATGCATCACAAGAAAACCAATTATCTGAAAGAAATGAAGTTTTCTCTGTATTGACAAGTCCACAACGTGAAACAATGGCTGAAGAGTTAGCTGGATTTCTAGCGGAAAAAAAACGTTTTATGCGTGAAATAGTTAAATGGGATGATTCTGCTAATGATATTATTGTATTAGCTAAGAAAATGTGTGTAATTATGATGGAAATGACAGATTTTATACGTGGTAAAGGTCCATTACAATCTACATTGGATGTTATCGAAGTAAGTGATTAAGAAAAATATTTATTCATGTACTTGACATTAATTTTTCTATCTCTCTGATATAAAGTTAATTTTGTAAGTTATAAATATGTAGGTTTGTTTTTGATGAACAACATTTCCAACGGTTAATATTAGTGATATAGCAAGGAGTAGAATTTAGAATTTCTGAAGTTAGATGACTTAATCCAAGTCACTTTTCAAAAGTAAATAAATCAATAGCCGAAATAAAATGAACACAAATTTAAATTTTCAACGGTTATTCAGATGATATTCAACTCTTTATATTAAAGGTATGCCTACAATGCTACTAACTTCAATAACTGTGTTCGAGGGAAGTTGGATGGTTTTTTCGAAAACAGTATACTTTACTAACAAAGCAATTAATTTTGAAACGGCGGTTACTCAATCTTAAATCCTAATTGAAAGTGAATGCTAATCCGAACATTTTTTGAGGGATTTTACGTAATCAATTATTCGTTTACTTTGTATTTTGATTATCTCAACGTCAACTTTACTTTCCTAAGGTTACTTTAATAGTCACTGAAGGTCATCAACACAGTACGCTTTCACTAGTCCAGTATTTTTATGGTTATACTAGATATTAAAAATCCTAAGAATTCCGGGACATTGGACAAAGTCCTCCACTTCTAACTAGTCTTTAACGATACTCCAGTTGATGGTGATGGTCATTTTTAAATTAAATGGATAACGACTACTGATCAATAAATATTAGTCTAAAGTAATAGCATTAAAAACTTATACTTTCAGTCACTTGTTTCTATACACGACCATACTATTTGTTCTACGTTTTACAGCTACGTCTCATCAGCTTGTTGTAGAGAAGATGGTACAATTTGGTGTTATTTGGCCAATTTTGTGCAATCGATTTTCTTAATAGTAATACTTAGCTGTAAATAATAGGTATTCTGTTTAAAATCTGGTATCTACACTATTTTTTAATTGTGTATTGAACATTAATTATGGAGAAGCACAGGTTGAGCTACCATTTTTAAATTGCTTAGTTTAAAGAAATCTAAGTGGAGCTCTAAATCCATCCACCTATCGAAAACCAACGCACTTAAATCGTTATATCGACTTCAATTCAATATATCCATTCAGTGTAGAAATCACTTTAGCACTTAGTCTCTTTAGAAGAACAAACAAAATTATTACAGCTGAAGAGGACAAACAAGGAGAACGCGTCCATTTTCATTCTATTACGTATTTTTGATGTGAGATGAGAGTGTATTGATCAGTTTAGAAAAAGACCTTAGATGAGTATTTTTATTACAACAATAGTATCATCTGTATACCGCCTAATATTCCTGTACAACTTGAAAAACTCCGAATTAAATCGGCAATAGCAGTCTGTGCCATTTTCAACAACCATCAAGTCGATATTAAAAATATCAAAACAATGCTAAAAGACTTTTCCAAATACAAAGACAGGAGATTAGCTGAAGCTTCCCATATATTGTTTAATCCTACTGCTCTCAATAGTAAAGAAGTCCTGACTATCCATCCAACTTGGATCATCTATCCGAGCTACTATATCTGATTCTATTCACATCTCACACCATCATCACAAATATAAAGTCATCTCTATCTTTTCACATTACAAATATCATATTTTTCGCATCGATTAACATACATACAAATACATAAGTATATCTCATAGAAATCACTTAGATGAGAGTGAGATGACATTGACTTGATCAGACCTGTTTTTGATTGATTAATTGTACTAAATATTCTTGCTTTACTCCTTTGTACCATTTAAGCTTGGATTAATTTGATTTGTTTATTTATTCTTTGAAGTGTTGAAAATACTAATTTTTCTGCTCATTAGGATATTACAAATATGCTATTCTTGATCAAAGAAATATTTGGTTGTTAATATGTTATCTGTTGTAAAACCTTATAGTTGTGAATCTTGTGTTACTGTGCGAGGAAATACTGACAATCGAAATTATACATAATTAGTAGGAAATTAATTTACTAAAATAAGTAGTACTCTTGGAAGATTAACAGAATCTTGTTACTGGATGCATTCCTAGTGATAATCCGTTTGTGATAGTGTTATCTATGTCTGTGTCGTTGTTCAAATACTGTTAGTAATGTGATAGACGAAATCGATTTATATATAATCGAAGATGGTTATGTATAATCCTATTCGGTTCACTTTTGGGAGTGTCACAACATTCGTCTGACAGTGAAAAGCTTGATATACAATAAGTTGCTAAAAGAAATTTAGCTTTACATTAATGGAACCTGGAACTTGTTATTTTCATATTGATGATTTATGATAATTGTATGAGTTGTTAATAGTTATCTCCGAAGGACTACTTGCACTTACTTGTAATGCCGTATGACTATTGTTATAGTCCGATAACATGTGTTTCAACATCTTGGAGACCACCATCATTTAACCAGTGTTGTTATCTTAAAACCTCAAGCTTGATTGTTTAAAAACACCTTAGGTTTCGTGTGCTTTCGTATTCAACAGTGTGTATTGCTAACTCTGAAACTGAATTAAAAGAGTAAAATCTCATTCAATTTATAATTTGAAAATGTAGAATGAATAAAAATTTTGTAGCTCGTTGGTTATGTGTTCATGGAGCATAATTCTCAACATAAATCATCTTATTCTCACCACTTCGGTGTATCAAGCTGATTTTTCTACAGTGAAATAATATGTTAATCTTCATTCTGTTTTGTTTGTTTTTGTCTCTCGAATTACGACTCCATACGTTTAGGCAGCTCAAGAAATATCGGAACATGGTAAACGTCTAAATAGTCTATGCCGACATATTGCAGATATGTGTCCAGATTCAGCTAGTCGACGAGATTTATCCGCCTATTTACAACGAGTTACATTCTATTGTCACCAACTAAGTATTACTAGTCGAGTGAAAGCTGGTGTTCACATGCTCAGTGATGAAATTGTAAGTCATCTCGATGATTATTTATATTATGAATATAGATGTTACTAATTGATTGATATCAGTAGACGCTTGAATATGTGGTTTTTAGGATGTGAAGTTTAATGTAAACAGTACACTTAATTGTCGTCTCTCCTGATGAGTACCATCAAGTATGAACACGAGTTTTGTTTTCGTATCCTTCGTTCGTATCCACCCCAACTTTTTCTTGGCTATATACTTTATTACTAAACAAATTCAGTCACTTCAGTACGCTCCCTTTTGACAGAATCTCATCAATACTGATTGCTAGATAAGGATGAGAGGAGAAGAAGAATGATTCTTCGTGCATAAACTACTTGCAGAAATTATAAGCAGAGTTGGTTAGTGGCTAGTAGTAAAATTGTTGGGATATTCAGGAAAATATCCCAAAGATTATTCTGCTAATCCTAATGCTATCCTTGGACATGAAATGGTATCATCTTATTGGTCAATATTTATTTGACGTGTTATTTTCCTGTTGGCCATTACTGTACAATGTTATCTTCTATTTTATGGTACGTTGTGGGCTGCTTGAATGGTATATAAACAAAGTATGTTTGAAATATAATGATTCATATATCCGAGGCTGTGACTTGTGTTCTGGACTTAACTGGCTGGGTTAGACAGGGAAGCGAGACCAATCAGAGCCCTAGGTCGTTCTACGTGTTTGCGCGTCTTTGGTCCGAATAATAATCCGCTACCCCTTAATCAGCATTATTTTTCACGTTATAACAAAAATCCAGGACGCACATTTCGTCTTATTTTGTATCCATTAGTCAGATGTACTTGCATCCCAGATTTGATGTTCACTCCGGAACTCGAACCCAGTAAGTACTGTTTTCTTCAAATGCCGTCGCGTTTTCCACTTAGCTATTGAGTTCAGATAGCTACTCCGTAAATTATTTATGCTTTCACTGACTCAATTCAATTTCCATACCGTAATTGATTGAAGTGTTACGTAGGGTATATCACCATAATGAGTGTTACATCGTTCTTAATGCATCAACATGTTTATTTTACAAGCTTTCTTAGGATGGACATTTGTTTTTTTCTAAGAACTATTGATTTATTATTGTTGTTAATTAACTATTCAAATATGTAGAATTATGTATGCATTTCATGTTCAGTTCTATAACCTTTAGCACTTATTTTGAAGGAAATCTGAATTAATATGCATACTAATTAGTATTGCTTAATGAAACACACTTCCACTTGACTGACCAATGATACACACTGACTTGGTCCAATTTTATTGAATTGCTACATTTACTACTAAAATGTGTATTAGTAGTTTGAAGCATATCACAAAAATCATTATATGTGAAAATTATATTTGAAATATTCTCAGCGATTGAAATTTAACTAATTCCAACGTTTCGTCCAGCTAACTTGTCTGGACTTCTTCAGGGTAATAATCAAAATCAAAATTATCAAAGAAATATATAGCTTTTAACAATCAGGATTATACTGTGTTAAACCAATCATATTTGGGTGTTGATTTTTTGATTATTACCCTGAAGAAGTCCAGACAAGTTAGCTGGACGAAACGTTGGAATTAGTTAAATTTCAATCGCTGAGAATATTTCAAATATAATTTTCACATATAATGACTTCTCTATGCTCGGCGCTCAATTACTGTCAAACTATTCGTTCTAATCTTGACGAATATTCGTATATATCACAAAAATGTTTATTCGGCTGGCTGGCTTTGCGCGGAAATTTTAATATCAGTTTAACTTACCGTAACAGTTTATGTGGTTATTCCTTGAATAGCTACAAAGGAGTCTTTACAAATTTTTTTGATGATCAGGCTATTGATCCTGTCTAAATCACACATACAGTACAGGTAAACAAAACATAAATTCGATGTAAGTAACTTATAGAATGGTTGCAGTTTTTCCGTACGATTGAACACATCCTTTCTGGTATTCCTTTTCATAATCCTTCTATGTCACGTGTAGCTAGTGATCACAGAATATAATGCTATAAATCAAATTCACTGAAGCACTTCATTACTTCTTGTCAGGATCCAGTTCTATCGTCTTAAAACAATTACCAACTTCTTTTTACCTAACTATTCGGGACAGTTAATTTATGAGTAAAAAACTGTATTACACCTAATTATCAGTATTTATTGAGTTTGGAAACATTTTAGCATAATTTATCAACTCAACTAGGATCCTATAACTGAATTCTTGATTGAATGTCAACTAATTTCAACTCATAGATTAATAGAATTCATGCTTTACAACCGTACAGCATAAACAATTTCGTACACTTACCTTCAGTAAATGTATGGACACCATCATAATCGTCAATATTATTAGTTATGGCTTGTACGCTTGTGCTGGAGTTTGTCTGAGACGATAAAGCAAATATTATCACGTATGTGTGCAAAATAGACTGGTTTCTGAAATATCTTGGTGATGCCAAAAATATGGTTAAAAAGCGTTATATATTAAAAGCTTCGTCGCATCTTTTACAAGTCTTGGGTTCAACCTCTGTGAAATCATAAATATTCAATGCTAATAAGTATTGTATGAAGATGACAGAATCATTCGGTACCACCCATATTTTTAATAATACCCGAACTTATATCAATCTGTGATGAATACAGCTTACAAATACGGTTGTTGTTTGTTTGTTACACCAGAATTGTGAGAAATTAAACTTAAAATCTCTAACTTAGACTTTTGAAACTATTGTAGACGTGTGGCCTCATAGTTAAAGCTCTCGTCTTCAAGCAAAAAAGTTACATGTTTCATCTCTCTGTATATTAAAGTTTGGAAAACTGAGTAGTAAACCATTAGTCCTCATAAAAACTATATATCTCAAGGCTAAATACGAAATGTTTACTTCGTAAATGCGTTACGTGAAAAATATCATTATATATTAATCCGTTAATACTTTCTTCCAGTTAAATAGTACATGTAGTCATTTAAGATAGTTGGAAGTAGTCGGCAGAAAACTTTGGACTTAAGTTTCGTGCTATGTGGTACTTATCAGGAAGACATATTTTCAACCACCTAACATCGTAACATACTCCGTGAAATGTCGAACCAAATCGACTAGTGGTCATATTGCAACCTGGTTGATAGAATTTAATTTGTATTAAAGGACTATACAATTATGATATTGGTCACTACTCAATGAAATATTAAAAGGTATTAATGTGTGTTTTAGATATTCTGTCTATTAGCTTTCTTCTACATTAGCCTACTCCATTTATTAACTTTCTAATCTTCTTTATTTTATTCTAGTTTGAAAGTGCAACTTCCCTAATACAAGCTGCTAAAAATCTAATGACATCAGTTGTTTTAACAGTGAAAGAAAGTTATATAGCATCAACTAAATATCGTAATAGTTCTAATCAACGTTGTATAGTTCAATGGCAAATGCGTACACCAGAAAAAAAGTCATTAGTATCAGATTATTTAAAAAATTCTTCAATATATAATCGTGATTATTTATTTGACGAGTTGAATTCACATCATCCAGATGCATTGAATGAATTATCACAATTTAAACATCCACCTAATTCTTAATGAACATGTTTATTGTTGAAAATAATTTTATACTACTTATAACTATGAATACTACTAATTAAATTATGATCTCAATTGAAATGCTTTTATATTTTAATGAAAAAATTCAATTAATCACAATTCAATAACACTGATCTGATCATCTATTGTATATATCTGTATTGAATTCATATTGTTTTTTTTTATAAATTTTCCTTTACCTTTTTATACATAAGTCAACAGTTTCCTTTTTTTTTCTCTCATCTAATAATGTTAGAAATCTACCTCTTTCTCTATACTTAATATTAGTTTTAAATACATCATTGTACTCTATCGAAATGCTCAATTACACATTTATTCATGTGTGTGTATATCATACATATATAGGCTTGATTTCAGTGCTTCATGCCCTATAAACACATTTCCCATATACAACTCAATACATTCCTTTATCTCAGGTTATATTTTATATATATAGCCTTTTTCTTATTGTTAATTATGCCATATTGGCTAACACCATCTACTGGCACTAATTATGCTGGTATTATTTAAATGCTACTAATATTAGATTGTTTTCATTTTGGTTAGAGTAGATATTTTCATTATTAATCTTATTACTTTGTACGATTCTCATTCATAAATTGTTGTGTTGTACACTGATTTTTTGTAAATAATCTTAGTGATTACCTTACCTTTATAATGTGTGTATGGTGTTTGATTGTTTATTGTTGTCGGCAGCAGTGTTTCCTATATTTGTGTGCAAGTTCTGCGTTTATCCATTCCTTTTTTATATTACTTGTTAAAATAAACAATTGTTTACTCATTTTTTAAAATTCAAATCTTTATGTTGTTATTCAGTGTAAAAGGTGACTGCTCATGGTGTACGGTTATTCTGGAACGAATGCGTCTCTATGTTGCCAATCTGTTTATACTCTTACTATCTTTACCACTACGGGATTTGAATCGACAACTGCATCTCTGTGCTAATGTGGTATGCCAACTCGAACTGATGTACGTACGTACGTACGAAGTTCTACGTTGTTACTGACTGCTCATCTGTGAAAGTCTGCTCGTTTTACAGTAAATCCGGTACTTAAGTTTGAATTTTCATCATGCTGTACTGTTTCATCATACTTTACAATTGATTGATCACTGGGTAGTCACCAATGCCAAGTATTTCAATTTTTTCTCAATGCAGATCGAACTCTATCGATCAAGTTGCAATGTGGACACTAGTTTAGGTGACTATGTTGAGATGTAAATTGGTAGTTAGAGGTAGTTGACAGTAAATCGTACTTGACTTACCTTTCATGCTATTTGTCACTCGTCAACAAAGTGATGCTCCCTGGTGGATTCAGTCCCGTGTCACTCAGCCACACAGTTATGGATGTTACCACTGATCTATTTGGGCCGCGTCTTTGATGTGAAGTGCACAAAACTGAATTTGTAAACAAATCTGCCAAAGTTCCTACGATCTATGTATTACATATAGAATCAATCCAAGCTTTTGGGCTAGTTCTTTTTCTATCATAAGCTCAGCTTCCGACTTGCTCATCCATTCCAAACTTCAATTACCTCTCCAGATCAGATTAATACACCGAGCTTTTCACTGCTTTGTTTACTTGTATGACCTATAGACAAGGTTGGTCTAAATTTTGTTTCTCGGAATAAATGAACGTCAAGTTTGTGTTGGATCAATGCCTGTGTGTAAATAATAAGTCCATACCTGTTAAGTAGATCCATTACTTCAGACTGCTGATATCTCTTCACATCTGCAATTCACGAAAGCAAGAATATACGGGCAGTTGGATTAGAGTGAATCTCCGAAAAAATTGCAATAAGATACAATGAAGGGATTTGATAGGTAGTAGACTTTACTGTATGTTAAATATTTGAAACTACACTTTCGATTAATTGGTTAGGTATAATATCTGTGTCATGTTATCGAGTTTTTATTAGTGTTCAAGTTCCATCGGTTTGGTCACCTCGTTAAATGAGGCTACATAGTTTGCTTGATGTTGAGTGATTTGAGATAAAGCAATATGAGGTCTAGATCTAGAGTTATTGGCCGAATAATGATGACCACTTAACACCAAACTGAATTAATGGACATACTATTTAACGAATTAATAGCAAGATTCAAATAGTAAGTCAGTGATTTTCTGCATTGGTTTCATAGTTCGATCCCAGCATTATCAAGTTTACTTTGATACTAAATAATAAACTACCAAGAAAATATATTTCATTCAAAACGATACAAGTATGTAATTATATGAAATCATTACCTTAGATTTATATATCAGTAATGTAAATGTTCTTAGTTAATTTTTCTCTGGGGGAGGAGTAGGGCATTAATTTGTAGAAAGCCTTCTGGATGCATATTTTACACTATCTCAGCGTTCATGAAGTTTAACAACAAGATAAAATGATGTGATCAATGTAAGGGGTTTGTGAATATTGTTGAATTTTGTACTTTTCATCGAAAGTAACCTTGGTTGGAAAACCATTAAGAATCAGACTGTCGATGGGTAATTACCTGAGTTTTGGTAAGAAGTAATGATCAGTAGAGTTCAGTCATTTCTGTTGTGATGGACTTACTCATCAGTAATATACGCTCAATATTGCAACTTAATTAAACTTCAATGCTAACTCAACGGTTTGAAAGTTAAGCCCTCACTATGAAACCTGAATTTCCTGGGTTCAATTTATTGAGAGATCATGAATGCGTACTAAGTAATCCCACACTACAACTAGATAGCTGTCCAGTGATTTCTGGTATTCAATGGTTGAGTAACTAGCCTCATTTAATGATGTAGACCTCTTTATGATCATTCATACTACTGTATATTGTAATCGATAGTATTTTATGATTGAAGATCCCGAATATATTCAGATTTTATTCCTAAAAGGACGTCTTCTAATACATGTCATAGAGCAGATTCATTGAAGTGCTTAGACAACGGAATCCTGATAAGTCTTGCAAACTGAACAGTATATTCGTTTCCTAAGTTATTCTGTAACCCCCAAGCTAGAACTATACAGCGACATGAACAAGAGGGAAAAGGCGCAAAATATGCGAGAAGCACTTTACTCCAAAGGTTCATTTCAATACCGAAAATATAGGGTTTTTATAATATTTTAAATGTCTTTGGGTTGCTCGAAGATTCTGGAATGCTACTAAACATAGTAGCCGTATAGCAATCAGCCAATCGGAACCTCTACATGTGACGTTTCACTTCCTTGATGTTTCTGGCTAAAACGTCAAGTGAACTCTGATTGGATGAAATGCTTCTTAGTGTTCACTGATCCTTGTTTGGCTTTTGCGATAAATTTTCTGGATCACCCCATGGTTAAACAACTGTTTGAAACCAAAAGTGCTGGTCAGTTGTTTTACCCTAGCATGAAACTTTCCAAAAGTGTACATCCACGAAACCATTAGGAGGGAATGGAGAATGTTCAGGTTTCATGCTAAGTGCTTAGTCTTTGGACCACTGAGTTAACATCTAGTGGTTTAGATTTTATAAGGTTTTTCAATGTTTCTATTTAATAAAATAACAAAGTATCCTAGATCAAATTTTTATACTTTATAATCATGGCTACTAGATTTTCCTGACAAAATGTTTTGCTGATTAAAACAATTGTATTCACTGTGTCGGTGTTATAATACAGATCTGGAGTATACCGATCAAAGTGAATAATGATAGTGAGTCAATACCTAAAACGCAAAAAACTTCAATAAATTTAAATTCATAGAGATTAGCAAGATAAGTAGTTCAAAAAGCCTGATTTGACTTTCGTTGTGTATTTAACTGTACACGATTTATTCGAATTATGTTCCCTTCTAGTGAGAATAAACAACTAAACTGACTCCACATATATTATGTCATCATACTAAATGAAGCAGATTGAGAGGTAAATTTGAAAATTCCAGTTCAAAATACTAATTAATTCTAGAACAATTATGATCTAAATAGCTCATAATGAACATTTCAGACTGTAAAGTGAAGTTATATTTGTTCAAATCCTACCGGAAACTTCCTCTTTCTCAAAATACTTGGTATGCTTTTATTCTCCATTGGCTAAATCTAATCCCGTTGTAACTGAATTCTAACTCAATGATATAAATGTAATAAGCTTACCATGAGAGCCCTGACTTAATGAAGAGTACATACTATTGCAAAGTCTTAAACTAGGATGATAAAAATATTCAATAAGCCTTAATTTCCAAAGATTTACCAGACTTTACAAGAACGGATCTGTAAAGCAAAAGCAGTATATTTACAACTGAAGAACATCTGGAACTCAAAACAACTGTCAACCAACACCAACGTCAGAATTTTCAATACAAATGTCAAAACAGTTCTACTGTATGGGGCGGAAACCTGGAGAACTATGAAAGACATCATCCAGAAAATACAGGTGTTTATTAACATTTTTCTACGCAAAATACTTCGGATCCGTTGGTCAGACACTATCAGCAACAACGTACTGTGGGAGAGAGAACAAACCAGATCCCAGTGGAGGAAGAAATCAGGAAGAAGTGCTGAAAGTTGGTAAGACACACATTGAGGAAGTTATCCGACTGTGTCACAAGGTAAGCCCTCACATGGAATCCTCAAGGCCAAAGGAGGAGAAGAGGAAGACCAAATGGAGATAGATATGAGGAAAATGAACAAAAATTGGATAGAACTGGAAAGGAAGGTGAAGGGACATAGGGGGTTGAAGAATGCTGGTTGGCGGCCTATGGTCCATAGGTAGTAACAGGCGTAAGTAAGTAAGTAAGTAATCTTCAATAATTAAAATATCATAAGCTTGTATATCTGATTACTTACTTGCTTGTTCAAAACATTAAGTAATCGTTAAAAAAAGAACATTCATTTCATTTTATAGATCTCTATACTTTCAATTAGTTCCAGTTAATTCTTAATCCATTTTATCCAAGTTCATGTATTCCATAGGTGTTTCTCTCTCTCTCAGGTAAATAGTTTGATGATATTGTTTGTATTTATATAATTGGATATACCTTCACTGTTGGCTTCGTAGATAAAGAATATATATATAAATAATTGAATTCATGAACCACCATGGAAAACCTAGAACCACTTGTTATTATTGAATTATTATTAATTTCTTGTTTGTTTTGAATGGTTTACCATTCCATTGGTTTATCTTTTATCTCCAAGACTATTGATTATACATAATACATCCTTGATTTATAAATCATCATATACAACTTTGGATTCAATACTATTTTATGAAAAATGGATGATCAGTTCATAGATGTGATTAAGTATTGTGATGTTTGATACTAATACATATTATAAGTTGGATAAAAGGAATAGATTATTAACAATTTTTCATTAAGAATCTATAAAATGTTTTAACAGTTGAATCTTCTATGTATTAAATGTTTCGGTGAGATTATAATTTATCGACGACCTTTGAGCGACGTCAAAGTGACTTTGAGAATGTTCATCAATTTACTAGAGCCAAATGAAGTTTATAAACACGTATGAAGAACAAACATTATGATTAGGGAATTCGATTTAAGGTTTTCATCATGAACTGACATCAGCTACAATGCCGAAAAGCTATTTAAACAAGTGGGTGAATGAATTTCGCGCCAATATCCAAGACCTGTTATCCTAAATCTGATTGGTTCGTTCATAAATTATAGTCTAACTAATATTTCAAATGATTAGTATAGATAAGTAATTTATATGTAAATGTTAGTTGTTTATATCAATTAAGTAATTTACAATCAATCATATATGGATATTCTTTATTCAGATTATTTTTTATCACGTGAATACAACCATTGAACAATTTGATTAGTATTGTTGTTTATCAGATTTAATAATAGTGTCCCTCCCCGTTGGGGGGCAATATACCCTCTTGATGCGTAGATGTTATGGCAACAA